CTTACTGGTATCAGTACTTCTTCTTTAAGGATCTTGCCTCACCTCACCCTTACATCATCAACAAAGGAGAAAACAAGGGATCAGAATCAGGCATTGTGGTTGGGCTCCTTTTTCCATTTCTTCCTACCAGTCCCATGTGTCTGGGCTGGACAGGGGGGTCTCAGACCTCGTGGTGAAGGATAGTGCTTTGTGGCCACTTAATTCTGGTTCCCACTGATCTTCCTTTCTGGTGATAGTGGACCCACCTGATGTTGTCAGCGGGGCTCCTCTTCTGCCCAGAGGACCCCCATGGGCGTGTCCAGCTGCCTTCCACTGCAGGCAGATGCTGGGAGAGGCCGGTTCTGAGGGCTACTTGGGTGAGTGTGTGCAAAGGAGGGGAGATGCTGCCTCTACATCGTTCCTCCAAGCCAGCTTGCCTTTCCACTACTTTTTAGAGTTATTCTTTGTATCGTCTGGCACATTTGCAAAGGAGTATTCTGGTACTGTGTCAATGATATAGTTGCACAAAGAAAGGGGAAACAGGTCTAAGGGTCAGTTCTCAGTGTTTTAGCAGGCAGGGCTGTCTGTACCGCCAGGCTGTCGTCTACTGTGCCTGCTGAAGATGTGGCAGTGGAGGGTAGGCATTGGGTGCTTTGGACACAATGCTAGAATATTCCATTTATTTAAAGATTCTTACCAATTTGTAGCCTAATAACTTATCCCTTTTGCAGTGATGGTGAATTTGGGGAACCTTCTTCATAGGCTAATATTCTATTATTTTAATTAGTCTTTTCAGGAGGGAGAGTAGGAGCTCTTGTCCACCGTCTCTACCCAGACACTTACCTCTGAGCTCATTTTGAAGGATAAACACGTTTTGTCCAATGGGGATGTGGGATGGGGCCCCTCGGAGGAGGGCAGGGGTGCAGATGTCAGCGAGGAATGGACATGTAGAGAGGTACAGATCAGTAGGGTGGGATACGGTGAGAGAGGAGAGATACGGGCAGTGCAGAATCCACAGCAAGCTACAGCCTGTCGTTTGTAAATGAAGTTCTTCTGGGACACAGCCATGTTCGTTCACTTACAGATTGTGCTACAGGGGCAGACTGGCATTGTTGCAACAGAAACTATGGCATGGGAAGCCTACATATTTTTTGGGGTGGAGGGGAGTACCGAGAATTGAACTCAGGACCTCACACCTTCCAGGCAGGCACTGTGCTGCTGAGCTACATCCCCAGCCCAAGCCTGAAATAGCGATTCAGTGGCCCTTTACAAGAAGGTTTCTCGGTCTTTAAGCTAGAAGGTCATGTTGAAAATCTTATCAACTTTTCTTTTGAATGGGGAGCTAGCGAAGTATTCTGACTGTGGTCATCTCTGAGTTTAAGAAAATGTCAGGTGCTAACATACAGTTTTGCCGGTAGCAGGACTTAAAAGAAGCGAAAAATTTGAGTAAGCAGGAGGTGAGATGGAAGGAAGGGAGGATTTAAGGAGTTGGGACAAAGATGGTGGTGGAGGGGAAGTCGAGTCAGGGAAGGGCTTCACGGTAGGGCTTCGAGCAGAGAATAAGTCTGACGTGCTGCTGATCTAGTTTCAGGGCTGGGACACCCCAGGCCTCTGGACTAGATGGCGCAAGGGAAGGAACCAGATCACACTTGGTGTATACCAGGACCTCTGCTGGGCATCAACATGTATTTTATTTAATCCTCACAGCAACCTTGTGAAGCAGAACTCCTCACACCCATTTACAGAGCAGGAGACGGAGACGTGCTGGGGTGATGTGGGTCTCCCAATGACACACTCTTCTTAGAAAATGGGAGAGCATAGATTCCATCCCAGCTCTCTCTGACTGCAAAGTCTAAGATAATTCCAGTACTGCAGGAAACTTGCTCAATGTGTTATAAACTCAGTGGCAAGAGGGATGTTAAACCTTCCAGAACCAGCCTGTGGGCCCCGCAGAGGCTAAGACTCCAGGCTGAGACCCACGTTCCCGTCAGCCCTTCAGCGGCTCCTGACCTTGGAGCACTTGGTAGAGGATTATTTCCGAGGATGGAAGCTGATGGAGGCGTAGTGGACCTCCTGCTCCTCCCCTGAGGTGGGGACAGCTGTTGAGGAACTTGAGGGCTCTGGAGGGTGACCCTGTGTGGAGAAAGAAGGAGGGTATCAGAGCAGAGCAGTTGGGAGAGGAACCTGGACGAGGCAGAGGGGGCCCATGAAGCGAATTTCATTCGGGCAATGCATTTATTCACCTTTCATTTTTCCACCAACACTTTTGAAGGCGTCACTTACTCGGTTATCCAACAAACAGGGCACTCATTTTTGCTTTCCGATTTGGAACACTCACCTATGTGGAAAACACTATTATTTTGCCCATTTTCCTGACAGGGAAACTAAACCTTAGAGAGGTTAGCTGCTTTGAATGGTCATTTATCCTTTGATCTTGAAATCAGTTGCACTCTCCCTAAGACCCCCTGTGTGCTCAGCAGTGGATGTGCAGGATGGGAGCAATGCGGAGATCGGCCCTGTGGCTTCCGGTACTAACGGAGATGAAGACAAACAGTGCTAAATAGGCATGCAGTGACAGCTGTCCCTCCATGTGGGTGAATGGGAGGGAAGCAGAGTTAAGCTAGGTTTATCAGACCCGACCTCGTCCCGTGGAGTTAGGGTGGTGGAGCCGGCCTCCAGGGGGACGTGGCTCAGGTGCTCCTAGAAATGGTGAGGGTTACAAAGCAGCAGCATTTTCTGCTGCAAGCCTATTTCTCAGCTCTAGTGTTACTGCAATGTTTCTCAGAAGCATTCCGAAACTCATGTTCCGAAACTCACCATCCCCACTTCCTCTCTTCCTCTTCTGTCATGAGCCTCGTCTGTGGACCCTTCTGTGACTTCGCCCACCATCGGGCTTGCTTGTGGAGGGGCCCCAAATCCTGCATTTGCCTGGAGCCCTTTCCCCACTCCACACTCTTGCCCTCTGTTGTCCCCACTTGGATTCTTGGAGGTGCCTCAAATAAAATCATGCTTGATTTTTTTTCTCGAGAAATTTCTCCTCCTGCAGAGTTGGCACTTTCAGTCACTCGCAATTCAATTATTTACCCCAGTATCATCGTTGGTGACATATGCAGACATCTGTGACGTCAGTAAAAGTCTATGAGTCATCTCCATCATCCATGAGGTAGAGACAGCTTGCTATCTTGACGCACACCCTGCAGGTAGTTCTTCACTCTGTTAGCAAAATCTGCCGACTCAACCTCCAAGATGTATCCAAAATCCACTTCCTTACGGGAGATTATCACTGGCACCTTTGCTCATGTTCACTCATCCCTTGTTAGGTTACTTGTGTCTCCTATCTGGTCTCCCCTCTTCTCCCCCACCTGGGGTGGGATTTCTTCACACTACAGAGTGACTCATTCAAATGATGTCTGTTTAGGTCACTCTTCTGCTCAAAATACATAATATTTATTTATCATGGATTTAAAAAACATAAATAGGCCCCACGCACCCAGAATAACTGGCACACGGAGCTGATTTTTGCTGCAGGGCAGGATGAATGCACCAGAATTGCTGATTCTGCCTTCAAAAGCCTCATAGCAATGTTCACTTTAGTCAGAAGTATGTAAGTAAATGAAAACCAGAGCTCAGGTGATGAGCAGATTGTGCAGGATGATGTGGGCCTGGATGGAGGAGGAGGCCGAGAGCCAGGGTCCTGAGAGGTAGGCAGCTTCCTCAGCTTGAGGGGAGGGAGAAGGCCGTGTACTGAGAGTGTCCCTGATTTTCCTGCCCGAGATGCCAGACCACACTGTTTGGATGACCATCTTTTAGCGGAGTGGAGCATCTCGGTCAGGCGCTGTGCCTCTGAGCTGAATCCCCAGCCCGCGTGTAGAGCATCTCAAAACCGGAGGACGGGGAGGTAGCTGTGCGTGGGTGATGCTAACATGAGGAGGAGGGATACGAAGGAGGAACCGCGGCAGCGCAGGAAAAGAGAGGGAAACTTAGCTCGAAGGGAGAACGTGGTTAACTGTCTCAGAAGAGGCCCTGCCATCCTTTGGGGCTTATTGGCAGAGGAAGAGGGGACAGCGAGCTAGGTAGAATGGAGCCCAGTGTCTGATTGAGTTCCACGGACAGAGCCGCCATCCGTTAGGAAAGCCGGCAGGAGGAGCGTGTTTAGTCTTGTGAAGTGCTGACATCCGGGCCCTTGCTACTTGAGAAGCTGCCTCTCCCAGGGGCAACCAGTGTCTACAGACAGAAAAAGATCCTTGTGCAAGTGCATTGTTGCTGCGCTAAGCAACAAAACCCAAAGTCCACACTAATGCACATCCTATGGAGCGCGGACACTCAGGGCCATGATCCTTCTACCCTACTGACTCCAGGGCCGGTACCAGGCAGTTGGAGATAGGGCTGTTTATCCCAGAGCCTCCTGGAAATTATGCGGTGCAGCCAGTCTCAACCCTGCAGAACCTGCATCCCCTGCCCACTCCTTTCCTCCGGGAAGACTGCGGCAGAGCCCTTTGCCCACATCTCTCCTCACTCTGTGCTTCCTGAGCACCCTGGTGCTTCCCTGCGAGGCCTTTTGAGGCATGGCATGCTTATTTCCTTCGGGAACTGTGAGTCACAAACTGTCTTTCCTACCGCAGCCATCTCCTGGTTGGTTGGCCTTGTCGTGCCTGAACAGAACTGAATCACAGGTTGTAAAACAGGTGGCAGGTGACCAGTTCCATTCTGAACACAGTGAACGGGGCACAACAGTAAGCTGCGCAGCGGAGGCATCTGGAGGGCAGCCTGAATCCCAGGGTGGCCACGTCACTCACCAGGAAGGCTGGCCCAGTGGCTGGTTCAGTGTTCTTTGTGTCCCCCACAGTCCTGGGTGCTTTCTTCTTGAGGGTCTTCACTCTGAGCGGGGAGAGGAGGGTCTTTGAGCCTGGTTTCCTCAGACTCGGTGTCACTGTTATGAGCCAGGAACAAGTGACTGTGGTAGGTATAGGGTAGCACTTGCCTGGGGACTTTCATAACAAGGCATTGTACAAAGTTCCTTCCTCCCCGCTCCTCCCCCACCTCCTGGACATCTGGGCTGGGGCTGGGGACAGACCAGGCTTGCCGGTAGCCACAGCTTGGATTCTTCATGCACAGTACCCTTGCCCTTGTGTCAGCCCCTCACATTCCTCCAGGCCCCTCCAGCCCCACATCCGTCTTCTCCAGCCTGGTCCCGAACCTGGCCCAGAGCTGAGGCTCACATGAAGAAGATGACGCAGATGCAGACGCCAAGCAGGGCTGTGACCGCAGCTCCTCCGAGGGCCCCCTGCACCACTCCTGCTGTTGCTTTTGTCCTGAGGCTCCCTGCAGAGAAAGGAGCATTGGGCAGAGCCCCAATCTTGATAAGGCTTTCACCCCGAGGTGGAACTCCGCCCTTCGAGTCCTCTCACATATCCCAAACTCAGCCTTGTCCAGAGCCTTGGGACGAAGGACATCATCCACCCTGCACCACCTGTCCAGCCTCCACCCTCCTGTCCTACAACTCCTTCTCTCCCAGGGCCAGGTTCCTCTCTGCATCAGACCTCAGACTTGGCCAATGCGGGAGCATGGAGCTCTCGGCCCTGAGGGCCTCCTGTTAGAGACAGCGGCAGGGTCAGAAAGTCCCGTGAGCTGCTACAGACCTGGGCCCTCCTGCCTTCCGGGGCGGGGCCTGAGTCTCCCCTCCTGGCCTGCATTGGCCCTCCGCCTTGGGGTTAAGTGGGTCCTTTGTGCCCGTGGAAGGTATCAGAGGTAAATTAGAACAGGGAGGTGTTCACGGAACATTTGAGTCAGACACAGACAGCCCTCCTGGGCCTGCCTGGCTGTACCTCGGGGGATCCCAACGCCCAGAGTCAGGGACGGGTCTCTGGGCTCGCCTGACGACAGCTGAGCAGCACTGTGAGGGAACCGCCCTGTCCTGACAGTGCCCACCGTCCCGAGGGCGGCCAGATGCCATGACTGATGGGACAGGGCAGGGGCAGTGGTGTGATCTTTGCACAGATGTTAGGGCTAAGGGCTGAATAAAAGAAAAGTAGCCCAAAGGGATGTTTAAGGCATTAAACTACTGCATGTGATGCACGATTATGGTAAAAATTCATGGAACACACAACACCAAGGGCGAACTCTGGAGTGGGCTTTAGGCTCCAGGACAGGGTGGTGCGTGCCTGTGGGGTCATTGTTCGTAACAATGGACCACTCAGATGCTGCATGTTGGCAAGAGGGAGCTGTGTACAGGCGAGGGCAGAGGGCGTACGGGAAATCTCTGCATTTACCCGGCACTCAGATTTGGTGTGGGGCCAGGGATATAAGTCAGTGGCACAAGCACTCGCCTGGCAAGAGCAAGGTCCTGAGTTCGATTCCTGGTACCAAAAAAAAACCTTATAAAATTTACTGTGAATACTATGCCACTGTAAACACTGAAAGGTGTTTTTAAAATGCCTCCCAAGCATTCAGTGCTTGGAGGGAGATAAAGTGCGTCCTTTAGGATGGGAGAGGAAGAAATTACTACTCACCCATGAATGTCCTCACCCAAAAAGGAACCCTGATGGGGACTGCTTGTGGTTACACTGAGGAAACAGGTCTGACCAAATCCGGCACAGGTAATAAACCAATAACAGCCCCATGGAAGGAGTCTCTCCCTACTTGAGCCCGATCCTGCGGAGACCCTGACTGTGGGGTTCCTCTGCAAGCTCTGGGACAGGAGGAGAGGGTTTGATTCACTCTTGAAGGGGGTGAGCAGGAGGTGATAGGCAGCATTCCCCACTCCACCCAGAAACCGCACAAATGCCAAGAGACAGGACTGTGTTCTTCTAAGTCATCCACGCAACCAAGCTTCCACAGGAGTCCTTGGGCCCTGTCCTGAACTTCACACATCCAGCGACCCAAGTACCAGGCACAACACATACCAGTGACGTTGAGCTGCACGGTCCTCTCCACAGTCACACCAGCTGCAGGGAACATCACCTGACAGGTGAGGTTGGTGCCGTGGTCCTGGGGTCGAGGGTTCAGGGTGAGCAGAGAGGAGAGGGTGGTCCTGGGGCCCAGAGAGGTGAGGGCAGCTGACGTCCAGGAGAAGATGGGGGGTGTCCCGTGCTCACAGGCCCAGGGCACAGAGCAGGTCAGATTGATGGTGAGGCCTGGCATCAGAGTCCTGGGAGTGAGGATGTCGGGGGTGTGGGTCAGGGCTGGTGAGAAGAGGAGACATTGCGATCAGGAGGCCAGGCCCAAGGTGCAGCCCTGCGAGAAGTGCAGGTCCCAACTCAGCGCCTCCTGAGGTCCTAATACTTGAGCATCAATGTTTCCCAAGACAGCGTCCATCCCAACCTCCTCAGAGGCTACCACAACCATTGCGTGGTGCCCAGGCCTTACCTGTCACTTCCACAGAGACCCGGTCTGCACAGTAATTCCATTGTACACTTCCTGATTGCACCCGAAAGAAGTAGGAACCACTGTCCTCCTTCTGTGCATCTCTGATGTGCAGGGAGCAGTTCTTGGTGTTCGGGTCCAGAAGGAGGTGGAACCGGCTCCGAGTCCTCTCCTGTGCTTGCCTTCCGGGGTCATTTGTGGCCACGGGGGAGTCGAGGTTTGTATTGGCCCCTTCTTGAAACCAGTAGCCAGAGACAGAGCCAGGCCTGGAGTCCAGTGGAGAGTACAGGAAGCTGCAGGGCACAAGGACACACTGGCCCTCCTGTACGGTCACTGATTCTGGCACTTGCAGCCTGTATTTCAGACTCTTAAATGAGCACCCTGAGGGTAAATGAGGCCCCGCAATTTGCAGAGCCCCCTGCCCTTCTCCCGGCACCCACAGCAGCAGCAGGGGCAGCAGCAGCAGCATCTCGGAGCTGGAGGTCCTGGCTCCTGTGTGCGAGCAGAGAAGGGAGCAGTGTGGAGGGGAAGTGCAGAAACCGGGGTGCAGCAAGAGAGCTGGGTGGTTCACAGAAGAGGAACTCGGACTCATGTCCAGTGCAAGCTGCTCCTCTACACAGAATGGATGGACAGCTGGGGGACCCACCCACAGGGCAGGCAGGAGCAGAGGCTGTGTCCTGGCCCGTCCTGGAAGCTTGTTTGAGCACTGCCCTGGCCAGGGATACCGGGACACCTGAGACAGTGTCATGAGTGAGGGTTTGGCTGCCTCAGTCTTTCCAGGCCTAGCAAGTGCACAACCTTTTCTGTATCTATAAGTGGATGTTGAGGAATAAAGGATTCTGGATGCTCTGCGTGTCTGGGACAGAAGAAAGGAAGAGGAGTCCTCAGCAAGGTGCAGGTCATAGCTAACCGTTCATTTACTCAGCAAACACGTAGGCAGTTTGAAGTACTTGTGGAACTGTGCAGAAGGGGATAAGTGATGACCAGAGTTTACCGTAACCTGCCCCATGCAGGAACTTCAAGGTCACAGATCATGGTAGCAGCTTGAGTGTAAATTTAAAATATGAACAAGAAATTATTTTCCTAGAGGAGCACAGCAGTTCCCAAAGTGTGACACCTCCAGACTAAGAAACAGGCAGTGTCTTCATGTGACACAAAGGGAACACGAGCTCTGCACCAATGCAGAAGCAACTTCTTTCCCACCACTGCTTGGTGTAACGCAGTGAGTTTCGGCCTGTCCTCATCCCACAGCTAAGCTCCTCCTTCCAGGTAGTAAATCTGCATCTCACAGGCAAATGTGCCTCAAAAGGTGTATATATTCAGATGAGCTGAGAGGAGGATATAGATAAAATTAATTGTTTCTTCGGCTCACATGGACTTCTATCTCCCTCATGAGTGTTTCCCAGGGAATCAGGCCCCTGTTCCCCACATGTGTGTCACACAGATCACTCATCTGCCAGGATGTGGACTGCAGAGGAAGATGATGAAAGGGGACAAGGCTCAGGACACAGGGCGTGGAAGACTGCAGGGCGGCTCTCAGGGCGGGACAGGGGCCCCACAAACCCAGGCCTCGGAGCTGAACCTTCTCTGTGTTGCCTTCTGAATAAGAAGAGCTTTGCAGGTGTGACTAAATGAATTTCCTTGACGAGCAGGGTTCATTCTGAAGCAGCCAGTTGGCCTCTGAATCCAATCACAATGTCTCTGCACTGGAAAAGCAGAGAGAGAGCAGGTGCACAGGAAGGGGTGAGACCACCTGACCACGGATGCTGAGACCAGGGTGATAGGGCCAGCAGTCAAGGGACACAGCAGGCTCAACAAGCTGAGAGGAGCCCAGGGTGGACCCCTGCCATGGAGTCTGGGAGGAGGCTGCCCATCGGACCCTTAGATCTGACCCAGGGAAACTGACGTCAGAAATAGGAGAGAGTAAATACATTCCTTTGAGATATCATGCAGAATCAATCAAATGCTATTGTCCATAGATGAGTGCTTCAGAAAAAGTCACACAGCACACACTCACACACACAGAGACACACACACACACACACACACACACACACACACATGCACACACCAGCAGATGCATACAGTAGAGCTACGAAGTGTTACACCAGAAGGAGAGCCGGACATCTTCCATGACGTGAGTGAATTCAGGGACATTATGCCATGTGAAATAATCTGTGCATAGAGGCACAATATCACATTATATTATTTTACATGAAACCTGAAACTTCAAATTCATAAAAGCAAGAGAAGATAGTGCCAGGCAGAGGCTCAGGAGTGAGATGAAAGAGGAAAGCTTGGCAAAGGCTGTAGTTAGACTGGTTGAGTAAGTTCTAGACATTGATACATAAGGAGGGGCACAGTTAATAATGATGTAGTGTATATTTCAAAGTTGTTATCTGAAGAAAGTCCTCCTCACAAACCAACACAAGACAGATACTACGAAATGCAAAACAGTCTTTTGATTAATGCAGGATGTGTTAGTTCCAAGTGCAGGGGTGTTGGTGAATGTGTGAGGTAATTCAAAGGTTAGCTTTCCTTAGCATGGTACAGGGTGAATATTTTTAAAACCTTATGCTGTGCATCCCCCATGTACATAAGCATATCCCGTGTTTTTTGTTAATAAGATGATGATATTAATAATGGCAATTATAAATTACAGAGATGACTATCCATAAACATCACATTGTATGCTGAAAGTGAATGAATATTTTTTTTCTTTTTTGCGGTACCAGGGATTGAACTCACGACCTTGCGCTTGCCAGGCAGGCACTTTGAATTTTTTATCAGTTACAGAGAAATCTTTCCTGCAAATATCCAAAGGCAATCCAAATAAATGATCACAATTAATAAACAAAGAGAAACTGCTGATCTGAAGATCACGGTTGATGAGTGAGTTTCCTCTTTCCCACGTGTGATCACCTCTTTCTCACCTCCCTGAAGCCTGCCCTTCACCCCAGCTATGCTCTGTAACACTGAAGCCTGGACCCTCCTCTTTCCCCACGTTTTTATCCAGCTCTCTGCCTGGATCCCCGTGTGGGTGTCATGAGGCTTCTCAGAGTTACAGTCCTTCCGTGATACCTTCTCCTCTGTGGAACAGATCACCTCCCTGCCAGGTGCTGAGGACCTTCTGGAACTGTCCTTGGTCCCCTTTTTTTCTTCCTCACCACATACATGAAAAATCCTGAAGGGAAAAGGCATCTTGGAGGGACAGAGGCAGCAACACTCATCAGATGCTTGGAATAGGCTCACCAAGGTCCACAGCAGCTCCGATAGAGGGTACAGACATTAAGCCAAGCAGAAGCAAACAACCTGAAGGAGAAGCCCGTGGATGAAATCTGGTAAGAGGGTTGTTTACAATAAAAGTCAGGGCTGCTGCTTGGTCCTGACCCTTCTCACAGCTCAGGTCTGGAGCACACGACATTCTGGGAAAATTCGAATCCCCCGAGGGAGGAAGCCAAGTGCAGCCTGCCTGCCTATCGGCGCCCAGAGCAGCAGGCACAACCCAGGCCTGCCTGGCCTAACTCTCTTTTCGGTGGGACATGATGCCCAGCTAGGGAGATATTCATAGGTGAGGGCCTCCCCAGATCCGGGCATGAAGGAAACTGGAGAAATTAAGGAGACACAGAGAATCACTGAGAGGGGAGACACTGATTTAGGACTGCTGAGCTCGATGGACAGTTAGGAGCAAAGGGCAAGGTCCTGTTTATGGACCAGCCAAGGCATTGAGAGATCTGTGAGATGACTAAAATGGTAGGGGACTGCAGTGGCCCAAATTGATAAGGCCTCTGGCTATTGTCTGTGTTTCCCCCAGCACTGTAATGCCGGTAAGGCTGGAAAAAGAACACGGGAGCAGGGCCAGCAGGCGCTCTCCCAATACCCACCAATGGTACCTAGCCCAGAATTCTGTGAGTTCCCTCCAACCATCCACCAAGCCCTACAGAGCTCTACACAGATGGGCTCTCCTCCTCCTCGCCCTGAACACCAGGGAACTCAACGGCTGGAGAGACTTTGCCTGTGAAGCTGAGCACCTGAGACAGGAGATCACTGAGGGAGAAGAAAACCAAAATCAGAGCCCTTGAAGCAGTTTGCTGTGGGCTCCCAGCAACCACTACAATCCTGGGTCAGATTGAAACTTGGCAAATATGAGTATCACTTTGACATCGGAAGCAAAGGCACAGAGAAAAGCCACTGGAGTGGCCAGTTGGGATGGGGTCCCTGCCTCTGGGCTGATCACAGGACACCTATGAAGTGGTCTGAGTGAGAAAGGTTGGGCAGAGCTAGGAGATGGCAGCAGAGAGCCTGGGAAGGGGAAGTTGTCAACTACGCAGAGTGACGTCACAGTCAGTGACAGAACACAACCGGGAGCTTGAGGTTCTGACCTGTGTGTCGGGGAGGTGCTGGGGACCCCACAGCACTCTTCAGGCGTAGTGACCTTTGTATGGTTTTTGGTTTTGTCATCTGTGTGTTTGTGTGTGTTCTTTTTTCTTCTTCATGGTTGATGTTTTGAGGGTCAGAATATTGCATCTAAGTGTATGAATTTTCTACTGTTGCTTGCAAAATACTGCATATGATTAGATCACATATGCCCACTGCCAAGGTTGTTTCGGGGTATTATTTAACCTGATTTCACCGTCAGCTCCCCTCTCAGTCCTCCCTCTGTCCTTCTTCTGTCCTCTCCCCTCCCCTCTAAATTTTATCCCTCCCTTTCCTTTGCTACTTTCCTCTTCATATGTTCTTCTGTCTCTTGCTTCCTGCTCTTCATTTTTTAAATTTATTTTATTTATTCCCTCCTTTCCTGTATACTCTTCTCATTTTTACATAGGCTGTTAATATTAATCTGATACAGTATTTTAACAGCTCACGTTAGTTTCCCCAACACCAATGGTCTTTTTACAATATTCTGAAGTTTGTGTTCCTGTTAGGTCATTAATTGATTTGAGGCTCCCTCTATCTTCCTGCATTTCCACTTAAACTCCCTCCTCCTTCTCTTCCCTTTCTTGCTCTCTTGTACCCTCACAAGCATCCCACTATCCCCTTTCTTTTATATGTAAACTGTTATTAATACATACCTTTCTTTTTTATATTTTAGGGTGTTTATGAGGGTCATATGTTTCTGCACAACTTTGTATGTGGACTATTTCTCTGTCTCTATATTATTTTATATTGACCTGTTGCATTCTCCTCACCAAAGGTCATTGCTTAAGTCTCCTAAATAAGGTTTCTGCTGATTTTTAAAATGGACATCAGCATTCAGAAGGCTGAGGTAGGAGGGTCACAGTGTGTTTGAGACCAGCCTGGGCTACATAGTGAGTTCAAGGCCAGCCTGAACTGCACAGCCAGACACCGTCTCAAAAAATGAAATAAAAAATAAAAGGAACTAACGTGGAGACAATGCCCAGAAGTAGTGCCTTTGTGTCTTCTTATAAACCCCTCCCTTCACCCCTTTCCCTCTGGCCCTATACATATCCTCTGAACTACTCTCTACCACCACGCTCTTAACAGCTATAAAAATAATATCATCAACACTCCTTTCCCTCTCTCATC